ACGGTGATTTTTTTTATACGAGAAATTGTTGTCCATGGTGGTAATGAAGTGTGTATGCAAACAGATTGCAAAAAATGTGAAAACTGTGGTCGATACAGTCTGTTAACTACGGCCTATTTTTGCAAAAATGTCTGGCAGGATAGCATGCTCAGATGCTGGCTACTGGAGTGCATTGAATCATGACCGTTTTTCAACGACTTAACCTGATAGCGTGAAACTCCCCTGACCGGAAAAGGGTTAATGCTTTGTTTCACATTACAAATAACATGTATAATAATTTTCTCTTTCACGCCTGTGTCAGGGTAGTATTGGCTCACTCTTTTTGAAAGGCAAGGCATCAACTCTTGCCTGGTTATCAGGTTCTCTCTCTGACTGTGTTGTACTGTGCTGTATTTTTCCCTTTGAAACATAATTTCTGAAATTAAACACTTTTACCCAAAATAGATATTATATTCATGATGGTGCCGATAACATGGATTATTACATATGTATTGCAGTTTACTTTTATTCGTCCCTGAAATCAAAATCGGTATTTTCACACCTCATATGCAAATGAGGTCTGAGATCAAACAAAGTAGTCCCTTCGGGAGTACCGTTTTTTCGAAACTTAGCAGAAATAAACAATATTAAGAAGTACAATATTTTTCTCTTGGGGTACATGAATATACTTGCCGAGTGAAATGAAATTTGAACAACAGTAATGGCACCTTCAGCCAGTCACTTATTTTGACAAAAACTAATTTGCATATCACCCATGCAATAATGTTTTCGGTATTTTCACTGTCATTATGCAAATGAACATGGTATATCCATCGGCTACCGAACTATTTTTATTTTGTAAACACATTTTCGTCTGCTGTTTTTGTCCGGTTCAAATCGTCAGGCAACATTTTTGGCGTGTTAGGTGTTACATCACATGGAATACTACGATTGTGAGAACTTAATGAGAATGTATATTGACCACCTGGAAACTGAGTTTTATAAACCTTGAAGGGCTCTCGGAAGATCCACCAGCAGTAAACTCAGCGATTACTATGCAGCCGCAACCATCAACATTGAGATACCAGGTTTCTGCTGGCAACGTTGCGGCGTTACTCAGTTCCAAATAAAAATTACCAATGCCAAAAGAGCAACATTTTAACCGGTAACCAAGACTCAGTCAATCCACGACCAGCAAGCAACATCGCACATGAAGTTGTAGCGTGCAGCTCAGCGACAACCGCTGTCGGCGAAAGTCATCCCGTCAGTGGAGTACCGCAGTTGCACGGCATGTTTGCCAATGCACAATTCTGTGGCACAACTTTTAACTTCAACATAAACTGTGTATCATAGTCGTCCAGTTCAAGTTCTGTCGTAGTCCCAACTAAACGTCAATGAGTTATTTATTCGGACAGTGACTCAGATTAGACGTCTGATTATTTTAATTTCAAACTGTCGCATACAAATGTACGACTTATTTACTACTTCTGTGTCACTGAGAATGTTCTAGAACCGTACTGTGTCTGGGTGGAATATTCTAGATTTTGTTTAGAAACTGGTTGAATAGGTAATAGAACACCGTAGGAGGCAATAGAAGGTAATTGAACATTCTAGAAATTTATAGTAAATTCCAGACTCATTATGTATGCTGATGTAATGGTCTATTTATAGACAGTGTGGGTATATATAGGGGAGTTGTTCAGCACTGAGTTCAGATCGGAGATCTCGTTGAATTGTATTGGAGTTTAAGTATCTAGTTATTGGAGTAGTGGAGTTTTACCGCGTTATTGTACTTGATGTTTGCAGAGTATAATAATACCAGTACCAGTTGAAACCTCATTTGTTGGCTCCGTGTTCGTATTTTATCATCGCCGCCAGGGAAGTCTTTTTGTTACTGTTGCCATTTTGGTATTTGAACCATCACACCTGTACTATACCAATTACGGTAATATTACGTTGCGTGTGACACAAACAAACAGTGACACTCGTTCTCCGGGCGCGTTCTACACTGACACGCGCTGCTAGGGCGTAACACTTATATTGGAACATATTAATGGGCAATGGGGTTCCCCGACCTAAATTCCATCTCGGTTTGTTGCACGTTCTTTCTTTAATATGAAATAATC